CCAAACATGTTCCAGTTTTGGGCTGAGTCCCTGCTGCTATCCCAAATTCAAATCAGATTGCTATTACACAAGCCTGCCGCATGCTCGCTGCACTAAAGACCCATTTCTCTTATGACTTCATTTAGAAATCAAATTTAGCCAAGGCATTAGTAACCTGCAAGGGACTTCCAGTAAGAACAGTATCAGAACCATCTAAAAATACGGATTTTTTTTTTCCCCTACCATCATGCAGAAGAGCAATACATTAAATCAATTCCTCTGAACTCTTCATGATTTTTGTAAACATACAATAACTAATTTAAAATATTATGCACATAAGAGGAAAACAATCTTTAAGTTCAACATACAACCACTTACACGTACATTTAAACTACAGTCTATGTTATATAGCATTATCGCATCTTGGACACCTATCGTATTAACATTTACTACATCACTGTCATGCAAATAAGACAGGTAATATATTGAAGTGGTTTAGCACCAGAAGGTTAGTAGTGTACTTTCAGCAGTGTACCTAGTAATAACTAGGCATAAGTAACACATCATACAAATACCGATGGAAACTTAAATGTTTTAAATGTTATTTGCAATCCCAGAACAACGAATCTTTAAAATAAAAGCTTGATTCTGCAACAAATACTCCCTTTGGTACCACATACATGCTGTTAGCAGTAACTTGTTGCCTTAGTTGCAATACATTCTGCTGCTTTACCCTGCCTTTAACTAAGAAAAGTTCTCTGCATGTGTGCATATGTATTATGTATGTGTATATATACAAATATAAAATTCTAATTAAAATACATCCCCTTGCTGTCAGAGAAGTATACAGACTCGGGTATGCAAACAGGAGAATTAGGTTGGCAGCTACAAATTCTGGGTGTGTTTCCTCATAAGGAGCTAAAGCTTTTTTGTCCTGGTATATTATTGGCAACATCAAACTGCGCAACCTTAAATCAGAGTTCAAAGACAAAGAACAAACTGGCTAGCGACACAAGGCTAAGAGGGCTTTCAGCTGGCAGCATTTTCAGTTTGCAGTCGCTCAATCAGTTGTTCAGCCTGCGAAAGAGAGAAAGCAATGCATTAACTACACCGTGGACCTTCGGTTTATCGAAAATTCCATTTTAAAATAAGTAGTGACACCGGCAGAGCATTTACTCTTCATTTTTACAGACAAAGCATACAACAGAAGCAGAATACAATGGCTGCTTTAAACAGCAGACTTTTTCACGCTTTCCATCGAACTCCCATTAGGTGATCAGAAAAGGGAACATAACCCGTGAAGGTCAGAGGATGTCTGAGCAAATAAATAGCAGATAAAGCAGACAGCAGTGCTCAGCCTCAAGCTGTGAGAGCTGGAATTCTCTGGGAGACGCTCCGGAGCGGCGTGTTGCGGCCTCTCATCACCCAGCCAGCTGCACACCAGCCACATACGTGGCTGAGGGATGCCACACATTCACGCATGTGGTTCATGTCACGAGATATACATCCATTCTTTGGTTATGTCACTACGCTCACGCATAACTTTTCTCATCGTATGGCTACTTAAGCATCTGGCGCGCAAGCGGGACAGCTGAATTTTGTGTATGTAACAGCACCAGCCCACAGAGCCCTCAGAAGGGCTCAGGGCAGAAGGAAGGCTGCCAACATTGTTTTAGCGGGCCAAACTGGGCACATGGAGACTAACACGGGCGCTTCTGAAACAAATCAGTTTACTGTCAGCCTTTTTTTGCCAGGCCCACTGAAATAATCTTTCATTTTGAACTAGTGCTTGAGGTTTTGTTAAGATCTCCAAAGGAACCAAGTTAAAAGGTGAAAAGCTTAAGTTCGGCATGTTTTAAATACACACAGTAAAAATGCGATCAGCTACTTAGGGTAGGAACAACTTAACAGGAGTGAAGTAGCTCTTGCAGTTAATATGCAAATAAAGCTAGATAACCTCATTTTCCCTTGCTCCATGCTTTATCTGAATTTTGTTTTGCATTCTTAAACAACTATCACATTCAAGCCATTATAATCTAAAAGCAAACCCCAACCCCCCAAACCAACTCAAGAACCCTTTACAACTTGACAACAGGGTAAAATACCTTTTGAAGTGAATCCATGTTGGATAACCAAACTCGGTACAGATCTCTCTGAGCTAATCCAAGATAGTAAGCAGTAAAACTACACAGCTATACTTATTTGAGGGCCAAATATCTGTGTGATGCTCCACAATACAGCAGACACGCATCTGCTTTTTTCGAGCTAGGTGAGATCTCCAGCAAGGTACCACTGTGAAGAAGCCAAGTTTATTCTCTTTAAGTAAGAGGCTGCCCGTATTCCTTATATGAGGCAGACCTTTTGCAGCATCTTTGCTTTGGGGCTGTGCAGCGACACCAGGATGCTGTAGCTATGTTGCCAGGATAGGTTCTTTGCTGCATCAAAGCCATGAGAGTAAGCTTTAGTCCTCGGGAGAGAGACCTCCGAGCAGCAATTTGCTCAGTGCCAGTCCAGTCTCATTGCTCACCTCTACTGACATAAATCAGTACAAACAATGTTTCTGTAAAGCAGACACTAGTTTCAGTCCAAAGATGACAAGATGAAAAAAAACATGTGAAATGATACCAGCAATCATTAGGTGGCCATGTTTTTTACCTAAATTGGATGAACTATGGTATGTACAATATATAGCCCATCACATTTGAATATATCCGTTCACCTTGAAGAACAAATACTTATAAAGCGTCCTCAGAAGCACATCACATTAACCTAAGCTACACATTAGACCCAGAACTGCTGTGAATGTTATTGTCACTCTGTTTCCCTTAATAACCATAAACATTAAAATTACATTTTACCATTAGATTTTCTCAACTAGTTAATACAAAATATAAATAATAATTTCAGTAATGACAAAAGTAAGTGCTCAAAGAATTTTTGGACACAGTTAAAATGTTAGAAAGATGGCACATCTTGCAATTAAAAACCTACCGAAAAGCTCATCTGCATTACACTTACCGTGATAAACCAGTAGGAGTTGATTCTGTAAATGAGTCTGGATAAGAATCCCAGCTGACTGGCTGGGGCCAGGACGTGAAGATGCAAGTGGGATATTGAGCAGAACGGAGGCCAGTGAAAACCCATTCTTCAGAAAAGGAAAACAAGTGAAAAACAACAGTGATGTTAATTCAGGAAGACGTGGAACATTGCAAGTTATTTAACATGATCAACTGAACTAAGAACTCAAATCATCACATTTTCCTTGTACATAAGGGCAGAAACAAAAACATGCCCTTTTCCTTTCATTATGCTCTCAGAAAGCCTTTTCAAATGCGCATTAATCTCCTCCTTTGCATCTCTGTATTTAAGACATTTTATTTTTTAAACCCTCCTTCTTCACAAAATGTATCTTAAATGTATCATACCTAGTTTTCAGCTGGAAAGACAACTGTCACCAGATGAATGTAGTTTCTACCTATTTTAATCCTGCAGGCCCAGTTCCCTATACTGTATTTAAACTATGTTACAATTTACTTTGGCTATCAAAGGTACTGGCTTAAACTAAAGGGTGCAGCACTGAAATCAAATGAATGCAGGTATGACTGAAACACAACGCAGTGCCTGGCTTGAATGGGACAAAGTTTACCTCTCCTGTGGAAGCTCGGATTTAGAGCACATTTTCAGCAAGTAATTAAAGAGCAGCCTTTTAGGTAAGTTGTTTGAAGCGCCCTCCCTATCCCAAGATGTGGTCAAGAAAGAATCTTAGAGTTGGAACGCAATCTGTGCTGGAAATTCATCAGAAAAAAAAAAAAAGAGTCTGTATTCAATGCCAGCACATTCTACTTGAGAAGTCATGAGATAAGTGAATGCAGACCCAATTTCTGCAATAAATCATACTGCAGTTGTTGCCACCATCTCTAAAACAGCATTCTGAAAAGTAAAAAACGTACTCAATGAACACAGGAGGTTTCTATTACATACCGTATATCATTCAAGTCACTAAAATTATTTCTCTGGAGGACAGCTTTTCCAACTTCCATCATTCTCTTCACTATTAAACACAAATAAATTTAATTTAATGTTTAAGTAGCATTTTACATGTCACATATCATCAGGCAATTTAAAAAAAGTATTCTTCAGGAACAAAACCTTTGAATATTAACTTCAACAAACTGGTTAGACTGAGATCACAAACATGAGTTTTTCAAAACATAAATACTGTAACTACTCATAATCAAACAAACATCGTCAAGACAATGTTGTGCAATGACCAATAAGAAAATCACCAGTGTTGCCGATTTCCACACCAGTGATGTTTAAAGTGTGGCATTATTCTAACAACTTTGGCCAAAGCCATGGTATCACTACACCCTTATAAAAAAAAACCTATAAATACTGATTGTCAGAACGATGATGTTTGCACTGATTCCAGCGTTATATCTCTGCACAACTACAGGACTTTGTTCTCTAGGTCCTGAGCAGCCTGGCCTAAGTTAGTAGAGATGGTACACAAATTTAAATTAAAATAAAACAAAATAAAATTCTCAGTCCTACTTACTAGTAGGACAAAGTTTCATTACTGTATCACTGAGAAGAGAAGCAATTCTAATAGAAAAACTCAAGGCAAAAGTCTAAGGAACTGGCTTAAAGCCAAACACATATAGAAGTTGTTTCTGGAGAAAACCACCCTACGTTTAGAAGCAAAACACAGTGGTGCAAGATTTGCAACACGCAACTATAGCTCTTTTCTTGCATCACCTGTAATTTTCCACGAGGTGGAATCTCTTCATGCACGTATGTCTGTAGTTTCCTCCATTATCCAACACACTTAGCTAGGCATTTCTTGTGAAACAACTAACTCCATGACAGAGTTCTCGTAAGGAAAAAAAACCACACCTATCAGCAATACATCATAGCTTCAATATATAAGAATTTTATCTTTTTGAAAATTATTGAAGTTTATTGGAACACCATTTCCCTCTTTCTTCTCTTACTCCTGTCTCCTGAAAAATAATGTAGCACTTATTATAAAATACTCATTTGATAAAGTTATTCTATGATTTTTCATATAATTTGAAACTGCATATGTATCTAAGAGAACACAACGAAGCAGCACATAAATATTTTTTAAAAAAAAGCTGCACTTCCAACAAAGTACGGAGGCACCTATACTCGATGCAAACAAAAGAGATTTTGTACACTAGTGCAAGGTTTTTCTAGAATTGCACAAAAAACTGTGCTATTCTAGAGTAGCATGTGGAAGTTCCTAGGAAGGGTAAGTCCCTACCTACACTCCCACCACCTATTTCAGCATTTACATTCACAACCAAATGGTGCTCAGAGGCGTAATTTGCTTGACAACATGTTATTTAAGACTCCACAGAATTATTTGCCTTCAAGTTAAGCACAAACTTGCAGCCTTACCTACAGGTATGTGTTCTGTCTTCAGCGTTTTGCAGTTTCCCATGTGCTCCACTGGCACCACCAGGTAGTGGTGGGGGGCACCAGGTCTGATATCTCTAAAGCAAACAAGGTCTTCATACTAAAAAACGGATGCAAACACGTTAAACTGACTAGGACGAGGATACTGGCAAAGAATAGGTGACAAAGTCCATCTTCCCCGGATCAACATGGTATTTGATGTCATATTTGACGTAACTAGCAAAAATCTTAAGATTTTTGAGCCAGCCTACAGAAAGACTTGCAAGCACGGTTTGTGTCCTCAGCTGACCTTCTGCAGTCAGGGTTCCTCGGTGCCCGCTTTAGGGCTTCTGCCCGTTGCGCCAGCGTTTGAGGACAGCAAGGCATTCCCTTTCTGACCAGTGCTTCGCTCCCACCTCCACCAAAGAGCGCAAGACCCTTAAGGCTCCCCCAAATCCGCCAGGCCTCTCCCAAGGGCCCCCCCGCCCC